GGGGGGGCAGAGGCTGGTCAATGCTGGGTTAACACCAAAGTTTGCCTACACACACACACATACACACACACACACACACACACACACACGCCAAGTATTGTGCAATAGTAGCCCTGGGAGGGGCGCCTGGTGCGGCTGCTCGGTTTCCCTTTGGCAGTCCTCCAGAAAGCATCCCTGGGGAGCAGCCAGCCGGGAGGGATCCTAAGTGAGGCGGGGGGGGCAGCCCCCCCCCAGCAGCTCTGCTACTTCCGGAACACGGGGGCCCCCTGCAGGCTCTGGACGTAGGAGAGGGCGCTCTGCAGGGAGGTCAGGCAGTAGCCCTCTTCCCCAATCAGGGACCTGGGAGAAAGGAGGGATCCGGTCAGCCCGAAGGGAGGGAAGCAATGTTGCCCCTCCCCTCCCCTGGAAAGCCCCTCCCACCCCATCCTCTCTCGCATGCAGAGGAGCAGCAACAACAACGGCCACTTGGGGGCGGAGTCGGGTGCCTGGCAAGGGGGCAGCCCCACTGAAATGCGAGCAGGCGGAGGGCACAGCCAGCGCACACACACACACCCCCGCCGCCCTGGGGACTGAGCGCTTGCCATGCCTACCCTTCATGGATGAACTCTTCCAGGGCGGCACACTCGGAGACCAGCTGAGGCGAGCGGCTCTGGAGGACCACGAAGGACAGGATGGGCAAGAGGTCGTCGGCCCCGCTGCAAGGGGAGGGGAGGGGGGAGCGGGTCAAGCCTGGCTCCTCAGCTCAGCAGCCGGCAGTGCTGGGAGAGGCCGGAGCCTTCGGGGCAGGGCCTGCCCGGAGCGCCCCCAGGAAGTGGCAGAGGGGGCTTCAGAGCCAGGCATCCCGTCGGGATAGGCGCTGTGGTCAAGTACTCACATAGCGGCGGATGCCGGTTGGAGTCGGCTCCCACAGTATTCCTCCGCACATTCACAGATGACGCGCAAGGTCCTCACTGGGGGGAGGGGGGGAAGACAGGCACTCAGGGCCACAAATTCCAGGGCCCTTGCAACCCCCGCTAAGCTGGGACCTCTGGCCCCTCCCTCCCTCCCAATCAGGAGGAAGTCGAGGGATCCCTCCCCCAAGCGCTGCCCGGAGCCAAGTGTGGCGTTTCTAAAGCTCCCCCCGCCCTCCCAGTGCGGCCTCCTTGGGCTGCAGCTGCCAGCCAGGCCTCACCGATGCACTCCAGCTTCTTCTGCGGGCAGCTGCTGAGAGGGAGGAGGAGCAGCTCCTGCACGGCCGCGGCGTAGGGGGCAGCCCCTCCTGCCTTGGGCAGCAGCTTGGAAGGGATGCCCATCTCCGTGGGAGAGGCCTTCTGGCGCAGCTCCATGCTCCTGGACAGAGCCTCTTCCTGGGCCCGGTAGACAGTCCTGGAGGGAAGGCAGGCAGGCAGGCGAGGGGGCTCAGCAGGCTCCCCCCCTTCCCACAGCCCCCTCCCATCCAGAGGGCAGGGATCGCCTGTGTGTGTCCCCAGTCTCACCTGTAGACCGTCAAGAGGGGCCCCCAGAGTGGGCCAAAGAAGGCTTCCTCCAGCTGCGCCAGGCACTGATCCTTGGCAGCCACCGTGTTGAGGCCTTCGAAAGCCAGCAGCGCCAGGGACAGCAGTCGGTCTGCGGAAGGGAAGCAGCCCAGCTCCATCAACGCAAAAGCCTAGGGAGGAGAAGGGCGGCCCTCCCCCACTCCCACGGATTGGCCTGCAGCAGCCACAAGCCCGATTCCTGCCCCCTGCCCGCCCGCCAGCAGGGCAGCCCCGGTGGGAGCCCACCGATGGCGTTGTGGATGTCCTTCACGACTGCCTTGAGGGCCTCCTGCCGGGAGCCCTTCTTCCCAGCCAGGGGGCTTCGCAGGGGCCCTTCTGGCCAGGCCTCAGCAGCTGACAGAAACTGCTCCAGGTCCTCGAAGGAGCTCTCCCGGTCAGCCAGCGGGAGGGAGCCACATCCTTCTGGGGGGGGAGGCGACAGGCTCTGGTCCTCGATGAAGGGAGTGCCAGAGATGCTGTGACGGAGGTTCAGCTTATTGTGTTCCTGGACAGAAAACATGGAGTGCAGGCTTTGGGACGAGCGCAGCCTCCGTCCCTCGGGGGCTGATGGCAGGAAGGCCTCGGCGTCCAGCGAGGAGGAGAGGGACCAACCGCGCGAGGCGCCTGTCCTGCTTTGGCTGAGGAGAGGATAAAGGCGGTTGTAGGCCGAGCACTGCAGCTTCTTCAGCAACTGACAGATGGGGTGATCCGCAAAGCTGGAATCAAGGAAGGGGCCGTCACCGAACCTGCCTGGGCTCCGCTCCCACGGGAAACTGGGCAGCAGGAACCCCCCCAGCCCTCCCCCCGCCTCCCGGCTCCCTCTGCAGGGACTGGTCCGCCCCTCCAGGCCAACTCAAGTCCGCTAAGGGAGAAGGGACCCCCTGGGGTTCTTGACCTGATGGCTGCCCCCACCCCGGTTTCATCCCCACTGGGCGACTGCGCCTTTTGCCTGAAGGCCCCTTGCAGATGAAAGCAAAGCCCTCCACACTCCCCACCTCCCTACCTGAGCAGGTGCGAGAGAAGCTTTGGCACCAAGGACAGATCGCCAGGGTGCTCTTTCAGCTGGGCCTTCCACAACCTGGGCCAGTCCTAGCGGAGGGGAGAGCAGAGAATACTGAGCTACAGTCCCCCCCTCCTTCGTCTCTCTCATTCCCTCCCTGCCTGCTTCTTGGGGACTTTTGCACGCTCCATCTTTGACGTGGTCAAGCCCGGAGCCTGCTTACATACGTGGTCCTGCTCATACTCCAGGATGGCCGCGTAGATGGCGCGCTGCTCCTGCTCTTCCGGGGTCAGCACCGCATTGCTGGAGAACCTCCTAGGAGGTGGAGGAACACGGGCTCAGAGGAGCCGCTGGGCCCCCTCCCTCCCCACCCATGGATGGAGAAAAGCGGGGCGGCAAAGCATCCCAGACCCAGCTGACTTGCCTGTTGGCAGCTTCCTGCAGCCGCAGCCGATGCTCCTCCATCTTTCTCTGGAGCTGGAGGGGGCCAGAGTCAAGGTCCCCCCCAGCAAGGCTTCAAATTCCCCCAGACAGCCCCCACCCTGGCTCCTCTGGCCAGACAGCAAAGAAACAGGGGCCGAAGTGACAAAGGACCAGCTGGCTGCAGGGACAGCCAAAGAGAAATTGGGGGTGGAGTCCCGCCCCCCCCCAGGGTGAAGCAGGATGGGGATCTGGGACGGGAGACCACCAGGGAATCCCAGGACTGAACTCCTGTGGGTTTGCCAGCAGAAGAGCCAGAAAGGATACGGCCTCTTCCCGGGCTTTTGCAATCACCAAATTCTCCATCATCTGACGCTGCAGAGAAAGTGTCTGTGGAGGCAAAATTAGCAGTAAAGCCCAGTAAACCCCAGGACTGGACGGAGGACGAGGGAAAGGGCCACCCACCCACCCACCCACCCAATCTTTCTTTGAAAGGGGAAGCACAGCTTCACCTCAGCTCTTGGGCAAAGAGGGCTCCCGTCCCTCGTCCCCTCAAATGTGTGGGCCATATTGCCTGGCTCACGTGGGAGCCCAGGGGCCCGTCCTCTTCCCAGTCAGCCCCACTTGCCAGAGAGGTCTTCTGCACCGCCTGGCTGGGGTTCAGCCGGGCCAGCCGGGCCTCGTAGGTAGCTCTCAGCTTCTGGTTTTGCAGGGACGCCTCTTCCAGGGGGCTCAGCTCTCTGCTGCAGAAGAAGAAGCAGAAGCAGAAGCAGCAGCAGCTCCTTGGAGGGCTGTGTCACCTGGACCAGCTCCAGGCAGCAGGCTCGGGGGTCCAGCCCCCCAGCGCCCAAAGGCCCCCTGCAGCTCCCTCTTACTTCCTGGGGCTCTGCACTTGGGTGATCTGCAGCTTTTGGAACATCTCAGGAGGCAGGAAAGGGGACAGCTTCCTGCCTTCATCGGAGGAGACTCTGCGGTGCCGAGAAACCGGAGCAGGGCCCACCTTCTTCCCCACCAGCTTGGCCTTGGCCTTGGCCTTTCCTGGAATTGCGGGACGAAGAACAACACAGACGAAGCCCCGTTACAGTCAAAGCGAACATCTCCAGACTCACAGAGAGGCAAAACGGGCCAAAGTTGTGGGCCAGAGAGCAGAGTCCAAGGACGAGGACTGTGAACCAGGCAGCCAGGAAGACAAACATCAGGGCCAGTGGCCAAACCGAGCTCCAAACCTTGGCGTGAAAGCCCAGAGCACATTCCACTGATGAGGCAGCACATGGGCTTCAGCCTCACACGCATCAGGCACCTGCCTATCAACACTGGGTGCCTTCCAAGCCAGTTGGGGCCAGTCTTGGGAAGCTGAGTAGGGTCAGACCTGGTTAGCAATTAGACAGGAGATCAAGAGGACACTCAAAGGACATAAGGCTAGTCTGGAAAATGGAAAAACCTCCCTGGAGGAAAGCAATCAAACACCATTGCCAAGAAAATGACAGGAAGGGCTCAGGGGAGGCACCAGGAGGGCATATGGTGACTTAAAGCAACGGTCTCCAAACTTGGCAAATTTCAGACGTGGAAACTTCAATTCCAGAATTCCACATCTTAAAGTTGCCAGGTTTGGAGACCCCTGACCTAACAGAAAGTTCAGTCTAAAATCACCACTTAGAGAGGAAGCCCCTTCTAAGCTGTGAGGCCAATGGTCACTTTTCTGCCTGGACTCAACTTTTGACGGGGTCCCATTGAAACGAGGAAGACCTCCTCCTTTTATTCTGCTTGGTGAAGGGGGTGGGGGTGGGGGCGCCGCTTATAAAAACAGTCCTCACCTATTTTAGAAACGCTGCTCTTGGCTCTCTCCAGGCACTGTTCTGCTACCTTGAGCATCTTGGGAGTGTCGGGCGCCAGGTCATTTTCATCCCCTTCAGGACAAGGAATGTGTGATTGTGTCTGTCCAATTACAAGGGGATGCAAAGCCCACCTCAAAAAGACTTCCACGAGAGCTCGGTGCCAACCACTTTTCCCCTCCATCTGTCAGGATTTAGCCCCTCTAGGTCCCTTCCCCCGGTGGGATCACCCAGCTCCAGGAAAAGCGGTTTTTGCCCATCATTCCTTCCCCAAGAACAGCAGACGCAGCATTTCTCAACTTGAAGGACTTTAAGACATGTAGACTTCATCTGCCAGGATTCCCCGCTCTGGATGGACGGGGAATTCTGGGAATTGAAGTCCAATATCTTTAAGCTGCCAAGGGTGAGAAAGACAGGGTCTAATGGGCTGTCCTGTCATCCTGACCTGCACAACATCCTTTCTTGGAGCAGCTTCATCGCCTAGGAGAGCGTGGGTGGGTGGGTGTGGGTGGGTGTCAGAGAGAGAGAGAGAGAGACTTGAGAAGGGACGGGCCAGGCACTGCAGCTCCAAAGGAAATGATTTGGGCATTATTTCACCTCGTCAGAACGCCCCACTCAGAAGGGCGGTTTACATGCCTTTGTTGTATTACTCCAAAGACACCAAAGCTTCTCTTCCCCAAAGGAAACTCTGCTGCAAAGGAGCCCGTCTCTTCCTGGGCAGGGGGGGGGGGGGGGGAATCAGGGGTTACCAGTCGTGGCTGCCGCCTCTTCCAGCAGAACCTGGGCGATGTGGCTGATGCTCCTCAGGTATTCCACGTAGGCTTCCTGCCAAGAGACCAGTTCAGCCAGGTGAAAAGGCAGCGCCTCCTTCGGACCAGGCCAGCTCCTGGCTGCAGGAGGCTCGCTCCGGTGCCCTCCCCCCAACCCGGACCGGCTTCACCGGCTGAACGAAGCGGAAGAGGCCAGCGCAGGGAACCGGGCCCTTCCTGGGAGGGCAGCCCAAGCCAGCAGGCTCTGCGGGCAAGGGGGGTTGCCCGGCTCTTCGGCTGTCCCGCGACGCTTCCAGATTGGATGCACCCGGGAAGCGGGGCGGGGGCTTCGGAATCTCAATGCGGACCTGCCGGCTCTCCAGGCAACGCGGCCAAAACACCGGCGGCACCTGAGATGGCCGGGGGGGGGGGCAGCGGCAGAGGGGCTGGAAGACCCCCCTGGCCTCCCCCGCCGCCTCCCGGGAAAGGAGGGGAGCGGGAGTCGCCCCACGGGCCCAGCGCAGACCAGCCCGCTCCGGCGCGCGTCCCCGCGGCGCTCCCAGAAGGAAGGGCGGGGCCCTCGGCGCCCCTCACCCGCGGCCGGTCTCCGGCGTCCAGCTCCAGGGCGGCCTTGGCCAGCTTCATGGCGCCCTGCAGCGGCTTCGCCGGCGGCTCTGCGGCGGCGGAGGGCGCGGCCGCCATGGCTGGGCCGGAACTTCGCCGCCGAGAAGCGGCGGCCGCTCGGACGGGGCCGGACGGACCGGCGCAGGTGAGGTCAGAAGGGGCGCGGCTCCCGCCGGTCCGGCTCCGTCATTGCTCCGCAAGCGCCCGGAGGCAGGCCGCCCGGGGGAGGAGCCCCCTCGCTCGTGACCGGCCGCGGCTCGGCGGCCCCGTCTCTGAGCGGGGCGGGGGTCGCTCCGCGCATGGCAGGAAAGGCCGCCTGGGCTCCGCGGCGCCCCCAGCTCGGCGCCTGCAGAGGGTGGCGCCCCGAGGCCCGGCCCCGCGACCCCCCCGCCCCGCCCTCCAGCTCGGCCGTTTGTGCGCACTGACCGGCCGGCTGGTCCCCAAACCCCGCCTGCCCAAACACGCGGGATGGGCTCCGGCCAGGAGTCCCAGGTCCAGCAGCCCGGAGGCCCCCCGGGACACCCACCCAGGCTTCCCCACTTGGGGCGGGGAGGGGCAGCCGGGCGGGGAGCCCAGTCTCCGGGCCCGCGGGGGCCGCTCTAGGACGGGAGGAGTCGGAGCGGGCCGCTCTTCCAGGCACCGCCTTGGGGGGAGCGGCCGGACTGCCCGGCGGGGCTCGGGGACGCGGCTCAGGGTGGAGGCCGCGGGCGGCGCCGTTGCTGGCGCGGGCGGGCGGCCGGGCTCCTCCGTCCGCCAGGGGCGCTGCGGGCCGGGCCAGCCACGGGGGGGAGGGGGACCGGCGCCGGAGCTCCGAGCAGCGGCCGGTGCGGCCTCCGTCTGCGCGGCCATGAAGCGGGATCGGCGGGGCCGGTTCTTGCCCGCAGCGTTGGCGGCCAGGATCGGGTCGGAGTCGCCGCCGCCGCCGCCGGCCGAGATCAGCAGGCCAGTCTCGGCGAGCCGGACGCGCCGCGGACGCGCCGCCGCCCGGGAGGAGAAGAGCGCGCCGGAGCCCAAGAGCTGGGCCTCGCCGCCCTCGGAAGCCGCAGCCGCGCCGGGTGAGCAGAGCCCGGGCCTTCGCCTGCGGAAGGCGGCCCCGAGCAGCGCCGGGGCTGGGGAGGCCACCGGGGGAGCCCCGCCTGCTTCGGCTTCGGCTTCGGCGGGGCGGCGGGCGCTGGAAGGGCGCTGTCCTCGGCCGGTCACTCCCGAGCGCCGTCCCGAAGCCTCCCTGCCTGCCGCTCGGTTTGGGGCGGACGGTGCCCGGCAGGCCCGGGCGCGGCGGGCGGAGCGCCTCGGCGGCGCGCTGGAGTTACGAACCGGCCGGGGATTTGGGCGGCCTTTCCGTGGCCGGGATGCCTGCAGGATCCCTAAGGCGCTTCTGGACGCGGGGCCCGCGGGTGGGTGCCGCCCGCTTCCCCCGCCGAGCTGGGCAAGGCCGAGAGGCCGCTGCTGCTCGGATGAAAGTCCGGAAATGAAAGGCGGCGGGCCCGGTTCTGCCCCAGAGGCCGCGGGGGCGCTTTGGGATCGGGCGAGCTCCGATTTCGGCTTCTGGCCAAACCGGTTCCCGCTTGGGGTGGCGGCAGGGCGAGCGGTGGGGAAACGGCCGTCCGGGGACTCAAGCCGGCAACTCCTCCTTCCCTTCGCCCGCTGAGCGCCGGACCTTTGTTCCCCGCGAAAGGGGCCTTTTGCGTGCGGGAAATGGGGGGAGGGGGTCGGCAACGTGGAAAGGCCCGGGCGGAGGGGAGGTCCCCGGTGCAGGGAGCCCAGACCAACTCCTCCTCGCAACCCCCCCCCCCCCCTGCAGGACTGCCCCGGGGCTTGAGCACGGGCTTCTGCCGGCTGTGCCACGGGAAGTTCTCCTCGCGGAGCCTGCGAAACGCCTTCGCGAAGGTGCCCGTGCTGAGCGAGGACGCGGAGAAGCAGCGGCGCTTGGACCAAGTCTTCTTCACAGACTTCCAGCGGCTGGTGGGGGTGGCCGTCCAGCAAGACCCGTCTCTTCCCCCGTTTGTTTGCAAGAAGTGCCACGCCCAGTTCTACAAGTGCCGCAGCATCCTGAAGGCCTTCATCCAGAAGGTGAACGTCTCGCCCGCAGGACACCCCAAGCCGCGAGGAAAGTAGGTTGAGCTGCCTTCCCTTCCCTTCCGGGTCTCCGTGTTGCCCGGCTCTGCCTGAGGAGGGCACCTTTGATCCAGCGCTTCCTGCTCTGATGTGTCTCTTCTCTGTGCAGGAACAGTCTTGCCCAGCCTTCACTGCCCGTGGCTTCAGCTGGAGAAGGAGAGGCGCCTTGCCTGGGTAGGTGAGAGGCTGAATTCCTGTGGATGCTTTTGCCTGCTGCTTCTCCTTGGCAGGCCCTTGTGGCTGGATGGTCAGCAGCACCGGCCTTGTGCCCCAGGTGGACGCCAACGCTGAATCTGCATGGCTGTCCTTTGTCTAGCGAGGACACCCTTCTGATCGGAGGATCTTTTCTCCACAATTCGAGCCTTAAGGCAGCTAATAACCCCCCTGGGGATTTTCCTTGGTGGGCTACCTTACAGGCATCTGCACTGGCCTTTAGGATTTCCCAAATGACGCCTTTTGGACCGGCTTTCAAAGATGTTGTTCATAGGAGACATTTTGAAGGGACTGAGGAGGAAAGTCAGAAACGGAACTCATCATAAATTCTTACCTGGCGCCCTTCACGTCAGATGTGGCTAACTCTAGAAAACGCCTCTTCCATTAAAAGGAGGCACAAGGGGCATGAATGACAGTGCAGGGATTTCAGCCCCCCTGCCTGCCCCAAGGTGGATTCTTGTAGGACTCTAACCATCAGACTGCAAACTTCCACCCCCTGGTCTGATGCAGCCTTCTGCCTCTTTTAAATTAAAGGTGAGCCTCCCACCACACCTGCGAAATATGCAGGTGTGAAATAGACCGTGCTCAGCTGCTTCCTCCTGGAAAACCCACAGGCGCCATTTTCGGTGTTATTTGAGCAGAAGTGTGGCTGAGAGTTCTGGAAGAGATCCAGCGCCTTCCTAGCAGGGACTGCACATCCCTGGGGAGGAAGCGGTTGGCCGGTCCTCCGGCTGCAGCAGTCCCAGTCCAAACATGGCAGGTTATCCTTAAGCTTAGATGGGAAGCCGGACCACCCCATGAGCTCTTGCAGCCGTAACTGGAACGGGCTGGTCTTGACCGGAGGCTGTTTTTCTCCCTGCAGACCTGATCACCTCCAGCCCACAGTGCCTTCACCAGCTGGTAAGGTGGAGCCATGGCCACGCAGGGAACTGCCCGATGGCACCAAGTCTGCAGAGTGTCTTGTCCTCCAAGTACTGTGGGATCATCAGAGCCGTGTGGGGCTGCACAGAGGGCCACAATTACATCATGAGCACTGACTCGGACTGCAGCACCTTGCTGGTAGACAGTGCCCTGGCTGTCCAGTGCGAACTGAAGGACGCCCCCCAGCATGTCATTGGCAACGGGGTGGCATCCGACAACTCCGGGACGGCCATTCCGTCGCTGCAGCCCCAGCACAGCACCGCTAGAGCAGTGGCCAGCCAGCAGCCTGCAGACAGCGGGACCGCTTTGCCGGCATCCAGTGCAGAAAACCTGGTTCCTGAGAGCCAAGGTTTGCCTTCCTTGCAAGACCCCTTGCAGGAGCACCTGCTCCAAGCGACCTGTCCCCAGTCGGGTAGCCCAGGTAAGAGGGTCGCTCCTGGCAGCGATGGAGTCTCCCACCTGGGGTGCCGGTGCTGAGGCTGCCTCTCTGGGGCTCTTGTCCTTTCTGGGTTCCCCTGCTGGCAACGGATTCTTCTGAGTCTGGTGGGGAGGAGGCGGTAGCCGTTTAAACCCTAGGAGACAAATGCTGCCGTCTCCGCTTTATGGAGCACTCTCCTTGCGTGCTTTTGTTTCGCATTGTTTTTAATTTCTGCCCTGTTAATTGGTTCTCCACCCCTTTTGGTCCAGAGACCCCCCTCCCTTCTCAGAAGGAAGCAGGTTGTGGGCAGAGAAGGCTCAGGCCTTGATGGCTGAGGACCTCTGCATGGGTCTCTCCTCCACCCTTCTGGGTAACCCATGTCTTTTCTGTTCCTTCCCTAGGGCGGCCGAGTGAGAAGCTGGCTCTCTCTGCAGCATCAGATGAGCGGGTAAAAGACGCGTTCAGTGACCTTTCTGAGGGGTGAGAGAAGAGGGGCTTTGAAACGTCATCTTTGTGCGCATGAAAGCGATGGTGTTGCAGGGAGACATTAGTCATGCCCCACTGAAAGGATTTGGTTGCTGGAGGCTGTTTGCAGGGAGGGAAGGTGGCAATTGGCAGTGACCAAAGAACAGCGTTGGTTATAAGCTTCTGTTGCCTTCTTTGGATAGTTTGACACCCTCAACACACTTTGAGCAAGTTCCACCTTAAATCCGGCCTATTGTTTATAGGAGTGAGAAAAGACAGCTTCCTTTTGGAGGAGGAGTTTCCAAGCCCAAGTTGAAGCTTTAAAAAAACTACCTCGGGGGCTGAGCCCTCACTGAAGTCCCACATCTGACCACGTTGGTTGGCTGCTGGACGCTGTTGCGTCTGAGATCCTAGAAAATTTTTGGGAGTTGCTGAGACCGGGATTCTGCATGTTGCTCCTGAATCTTCCTTGGCTCAATGGGGGTGAGCCTCCCCATTCCCCAGGGTCCTTTTCAGGAGAGCCTGCAGCCCCACCAGCCTTTAAAAGTCACCCTTTGTTCAGCTCCCATCTTCTGGACAGAGTTGCCTCCAGTTCCGGAGCACTGATGATCCCAGAGAAGTCAGGATAGAATTGGGTGACTTACTACAAACTCTATTACGTGGGGATCCCTTGGTGAATACTCCACTCAAGCCAGGTGCTGTCATGGGCATAGTCGCTGTTCTTCAAAGAGCAGCTGCTCCTTCTGTGGCTTTCAGAAAAGCCTCGTCTGGGAGTGCAGAACAATGGTTGAGCAACTGGCTTACAAGGTTTGGCAATCGACTCTCAGCTCTCCAGCTCAGAAGGACCGGCCAGCTGGGGATGGGGAAGTTAGAGCTGCTAAGCCTGGGATAAGTGGCTGGCCGGTGGTTGCATTCGAAGCTGGGAAGCCCCTAAGAATACTTAGAGGTTGGGGGGAGTTAATCGATTATAGATTGGGACAAAACTGAGCAACCATTGCTGGTGGCTCTACCCATGAAAGTGTTGTCTTGAGATACAGCTAATCGCAGGAAGTGACTGGCATCTAGAAGCCTTTCTTCTCGGTCCCAGAATTCTCTCAGGAACGCCTCCAGGCATTTA